GACCGTTAGGCACTGCTTAAAGCTGACTGAAGGAAGAAGGGAAGGTCCTCGCCAGCCCTGCATCGTCAGTACGTGGAAGTGGGGTCAGGCGCAGCCACAAGGGAGACGACTGCTCTTCCCTTAAGGAGAGGAGAGCAGCCTTGGTGGTCCTGCACAGAGGGGTTGCCAGAAGTGTAGGAGAGAAGCTGTGTGCACATAGTGTGTTCAACTCTGAGTAGAGAAAGAATTTCGAGAGACAGTGATCACCTGCAGCAGATGCAGCTGGTCTTGCTTGAGGTGGAACTGAGATTTAAATTAAAAACCTTTCAAGTCATCTTTGATTCTCTTTTGCAGCCTACACAAATATATCTATTAACACAGTGGTGAGAATATCATACACCCATACACAACTAGAAATGATATTCTGATACATAAATATATTATGGTTACTTGACTGTTGGCATCTGTTGTCTTTTTTTCTGTTGAGAATTGGCCACGTATTTCTGTTTTTTTCCTTTGTTTTTGCTTTTATATGTAATCTTTTTGTTTTGTATGTTCCTGTTAGGTGACTATGGTATCACTGTATACTTACACTGGTGTATTGTTCTGTATGTTGTTGCTACATGCTTATCTTGACATCATTTAACAACTGGATAGCTGTCCATTCTGTGTGGATGGCAGAACATGTGTCGCTGTTTGCCGTTGGTTAGAGCCAGTCATCCCACTACAGTGGGTCGCCTTGTCTGTCTCCAGCATCTCTCATCAGGACGGGTTTTTCAGTGTATAGTTGCTGGGTCACAGAGAGTGAATATTTTAAAATGTGTTTTCCATTTGTGGGTTGTTCTAATGAGACACCACTGGAGAAAAATGAGAGTGCCAAGCCATCTGAGTTCCATTGTGTTCTTAGCGCAGCTTCAGTAGCTCAAATATTAAGGAGGGTGATGCATGATTGGCTGCAGTGGACAGAGAAGGGCGGTTGTAGGGTGCAGGGTGGCTGTGCAGCGCGTGTAAGATCGGGCCTGAGCGTTCAGATCAGGGGGAAGCCTTGCCTAGCACTGTCCCTTAGTGAGTCTGGAAGGATGGAAGGACCTATCATTCATTTCACTCTTTGAATGTTTTATACTTTGGATTTCTCAGAAAGGGAAATAATGTAATACGTAAGTTTGAAAAAAAAAGTGTGATGACTTACATATTACATTATTTCCCTTTCTTATTAAGTTAAGCGAAAGTAGCTGTAAATTTATCCCATTTTTTATATATAAATACAAAATGATCTTTCCTTTGTATCTTTTTTTTAATTTTAATTTTTTTTGTCCTGTCAGGGGTGAATATTCTGTTGGCATCTAAATACTATAAGTGTTTGAATTCAACTAAACAATCTAACACTGTCTAGCAGTCTATAATATTAGTGGGTTATCCTCAGAAGTTATTGACTTGAGCCTTTTACAGCTCATCGTATTAATAATGGATTTACTTTATATACCTTGTTTTTATATTTTTCTGCTGGATGGTTAAG